GGCGTGACGGTGGCGTGACGGTAGCCGTGCACGGCTAAATCATAATATGGTGATTTAGCGCACGTACATATGCACCCACCCACTCACGCACGCACGCACACGCACACACGCACGCACGCACGCACGCACGCGTGCATGTTTTGTTTACGCGCGCGCACGTCGGTCGGTCGGACGCGCGTCATTCCATCGTCGCCTGCCTAACGAACAATCGTTCGATCGTAGAGTCGCGTAAACACGGCCACCTCACTTCCTTCCCTCTCGCGCCGTCTCCACACAAACACGCGCGCACATCCTTCGTTAACCTCAACTACACGTCTATAGCGTCGAGTTGCAAACATCTAACACGTGTTTCCATCGCTCTGATCGAAGCATTCTGAACCGCAGGGGTTCGGCGAATGCGGAACGGAAGAAACGCGGGAAGGTGGGCTCCGGTTGCAATTCAAATGGATGCAAATTTGCGGATTTTAACCACGTATATTTTTATTCGAAGTACTTTTTTAGTCCACGTTAACAGCGAGAAAATCTTGGTAAATACTTAGAAATCTGAGAAAAAAAATCTTAGAAATCTGAACGGCAGTCATATAAAGTGTGTGTATGCGCGTGCGCGCGCGCGCGTGTGAGTGAGTGTGTGGGTGTGTGTGTGTCGCTCAGCCCTGATGACAGATCGACCATCTGCCAGCAGCAGCATCCATTCCGCCCCCATCCCACCGCCGCCGCTGACGACCAGGTGTCAGCATCCACCGTGAGCATCAGCTCGCAGCATCCACCGACCGTCGCTGGACACAGGTGTGTGTGCGCGTGAGTAGGAGAACAACTACAGACGAGGATAGGTGCGTCTCACAACACGTCGGCACCAGGTCACGGCGGCTCCCTGTCGCAGCTCACGCACGCACACACGCACGCACACACACGCACACACACACGCACGCACGAAAGCACGCACGCACGTGGCGAACTACAGAGCGAGCGGGCAAAAGAGATATAGCGGCCGAAAGAGAAAGCGAGCGCGACAGAAAGAGAGAGAGAGAGAGTGACCGAAAGAAAGAAAGCGACAGAAAGAAAGAGAGAGGGAGAAGACATAAGAGGGAGAAGAAAGAAAGGCAGTCGTAAAGAAGCCAGCCTCCCCCTTGGAGGAGACAGTGACGGAGGACGCTGAGATAACAGGTAGGCGAGATGCGTTGGGTAACCCTAGCAACGTGACGAGTCGTCACGCTCGCAGCAGGTGCAGAACTAGCGAGCTCCTACGTCAGAAGGTAGACAACCTTGCATGCTTTCTTAGCGGCTATTTAAAGCGACCCTTTCTCAAATAAACCAATTTTTTTTGGGACGAATTTAGACATAACCTGTCAGCGTTTAATATTACTGTTCCTTCAGAAGAAAGATTATCGCGAGTTCCCGCTGTGATAGGCTATAATATAAAACAGCAGGTGAACAGCAAATGTGAGCACTCCATCTTTCGATGCGAGATAATGGCATGTTCAAACGGTCCCACGAAACAAACGCACCTAGTTACGAGACGCAAATATTTATACTGGTACCTATCCAGAAATGTATGCACATGCAGGTAATTATCCATAATGTAGAGACAGGGTTCCGGTCTCGCGAGAGCAAAAATCACGCGCTAGACAATCTACTTTCAAATGCAATTCGGTGCACATATTGGTGGAAAGAATATTGTGCGAGTGTTCTATGACATGGTAGCCTTACTATGTACATTTTGTGTTTTGCGAGGTGCACCGGTGTGAGTATCAGAAAGGTGAAGAAAATATTAAAACAGTTGGTAAAAACATGAGAAATCCTCGCTTTAATGCGGGAGAGTGAATACTGAATAGCTCGCGAGGCTATATGTCAATGTGTATGTGTGTTTGCACGGATATTACTGGCGCCGTATTTGTCGCTATAGCCGGAAGGCGATGTCAATGTGAATGACGAAAACTAAATACTGGTGAATCCACGAGCCGCTTACACACGCACGCATGCACGCACGCACACCTCTGACGCACGCGTGATCTCTCTCGCGCACTCTCTCACTCACTCTCTCTCTCTCTCTCTCTCTCTCTCTCTCTCACTCTCTCTCTCTCCCTCATTTCTCTCTCTCTCTCTCTCTCCCTCCCACACTCTCTCGATTTCTCTATACCATCACGAATTTTTCTCGTTCACTCTTCCACCACGCCTCTCTATACATCACATGCACACGCGCTTCTTACAATCCCCTGTGGCCGTACATGAGTACATAATGTATTATAATGAGCCAAACTCGGGCAAAATGAAATTTTACGCGATCACCTCACAACCACAATAGACCACCTAATGCCATCCCGTAAAGTCAATCAAAATTTCATTGCTAAAAGATAAATATATTGCTTTAGAGCACCGAGGGACCGCGAGATAAAGGGAGAGAGCGCGCATATGAGAGAGAAATGGGCAGACCGAGAGCAAGAGAGAAGGAGATGGGGAGGAAAGGGAAAGAGAGGGGAATAGAGAGTGTGAGAGATAGATAGATATATAATATATAACTTACAATCGGATACCAACTAAATCGTTACGTTAAATAGCAGTCTGGTCCTTTATTCAGAGAATCATTGTTGTTTTTTAAGAAAATGTATTAGCATGTTTTTTTGCAGAGCGACGGACACGGGGTAGGGAGTGGAGTGGTAAATGCTTCTGCTAATATATTCATTTTGCTAGTTGCACTATAGACAAGTACTGAGTATGAAGACAATATGTCGCTTTACATTATTGGATAAAATTAGGATATTTCAGATGTTGGCATTTGAGGCTTTAAGTGATGAAGGAAGAGAATTTACAGTTATATTAAAATTCAGCAACAAATAAACTCGGGAAGAAAACTCATTTCGAATTTACAGCAAAAAATTTCGAAATTACAGCCAAAAAGGCCAAAATTGGCCATTATCCCCTGCAAATACCAGATCCAATTGTGGAAAATGCCCCCTAAGACAAGATTCCAGGGCATAACCCTGTAAAATTAACGAAGATATACGGACGAATAGGTTTTGATTCAGAGCGTTATCAGATTTTATAACATTCAGCCGCAGCTGCCATACCTCGGGCCTAAAAAGTCTCCAAAATATGAAATAAGATTTTCATGCAAACCAATGAAGTTATCGAAAAACATTTTTCTGTTACTTGTAAAGTAGACGTCTCTTCACACAACACACATTTCATAGAGATTTGATAAACTTGTAAATTTGCTCATTTTTGCTCACTCCCATGCGGAATTTCCCGCTTGTGTAGCTCTCGTATCTGTAACTCGTGAGGCTGGGCAAGACTGTTTTATGTAAGACACACCAATTCGCTGTTAGTTTAGTAACACGTGTGATATGGGCTGACAGCGTATAGTTAGTGTCTAGTTGTAGTCACTTATAGTCTAGTCTGGTCTTAACTATAATCTAGTTATAGTTCGTGTCTAGTTAGTATAGTCAGTGTATAGTTAGTGTATAGTGTAGTACGAAACCGCGAATGGTTTGCAGGCGGGGTACGGGTGTGTGTTTGAATGTTCTTTCGTGGAGTATTGATCCGGGTTGTGCCCACGAGCGCACGCGGATGTGGGAGTTCGCTTGCCGCAGCTGTTGACAGATGTAATGTCATCCTGTATGAAAGTCCGCGCATGTCTCTGATCTTTGGTCGCAAAGTACTTTTGCAACTTCACCTGGTATTCTTACGTTACAAATTATGTTTTGTTTTGTTTTGAGTAAGAACGTAGTCGGCTGCCTGCTTTTCTGTCCGTATGCTTGTCTGTTTGCCTGCCTGCCTCTATGTGTGTGTGCCTGCCTGCCTGCCTGCCTCTCTGCCTGCCTGCCTGCCTGCCTGCCTGCCTGCCTGCCCGCCAGCATACCTGCCTGGCTGCCTACCTAGCTGCATGCCTGCCTGCGTGCCTGCCTGCCCGCCTGCATGCCTGCCTACCTGCCTGCGTGCCTGCCTTCCTCTCTGCCTGCCTGCCTACCTGCTTGCCTGCCTGCCCACATGCATTCCTGCCTGGCTGCCTTCCTAGCTGCTTGCCTGCATGCCTGCCTGCGTGCGTACCTTCCTACGTGGCTACCTGCCTGCCTGTGTGCCTGCATACCTGCCCGCCTGCATACCTGCCTGGCTGCCTGCCTAGCTGCTTGCCTGCGTGCGTGCGTGCCTGCCTGCCTGCCTACGTGGCTACCTGCCTGCCTGCGTGGCTACCTGCCTGCCTGCCCGCCTGCATACCTGCCTGGCTGCCTGCATACCTGCCTGTGTGCCTGCGTGCGTGCCTGCCTACGTGGCTACCTGCCTGCCTACGTGGCTACCTGCCTGCCTACGTGGCTACCTGCCTGCCTGCCCGCCTGCATACCTGCCTGTGTGCCTGCCTAGCTGCTTGCCTGCGTGGCTATCTATTCGACAGGAGCGGAACTGCGACGGGCAGCGCTGCATGAATCTATCACGCCAGCACGCCATCAGTCGCCTTGCATCCTCATTAAGTAATTAAGCGAGCAAATATACGAGTTACGAGAGTGTCAGAGAGAGAGAGATGACATGTTTTTTGCATAATGTTGTCTTCATTGTAACTTCACATGACAATACGAATTGGTGCACAAACGTCCACATCAGCAACGTCATGTGAGCCTATTGTGTATGTATGTATGCTGCTATATTAAGTAAGTGTATGTTAGCATGGACGCTGAGATGATTATTAAATCATAGCTTCACCAGTGTAGCCCTTTGGCTTCCGCTGCCGATTGATTTGGTTATGTGGTCGTTCGCGTCCAATAAAGGGATCAATTTAGCCATGTTATCGTGATTTAAATGTGAATAGCTGGCTGGCCCGTTTCATGAATACCCAGTTAAGTTTATTTTACCGACTAGGGTGGCCAAGACGTTTCATTGTGCCACAGACTACAGCGTTCCCAGCCACGCTGTAAACATTCTTCGCAAATCATATTCATATTCTGTAGCACAGCCCTGTAGTGGGAGCCGAGGGGCTACACCGGTAGAGCTAATTAAATCCTAATTCTCACCTCCGTCGGCACCTTCATGCCATCAGCAAACACGGCGAAGTCTCGGTAGAGGCGCTGGCAGCACGGCTCCAGGTTGCTGATGCTCATGTCGATGGCCTCGGCGAGCGTCGGGTACTCGTAGGCAAGCATCTTCTTGATGCGCCGCAGGTCACGCTGCTGCAGCTTCTCCAGGTAGAACTGCCACCTAGTGGTGATAGTAGTAATAGCAGTAGTAGCAGTAGCACTAGCAGTGGCATTAGCAGTACTGGTAGCAGTAGTAGCACTATTAGCAGTAGTAGCAGTAGCTGTAGTAGTAATTGTTGTTGTTGTTGTTGTTGTTGTTGTTGTTGTTGTTGTTGTTGTTGTTGTAGGTAGTAGTAATTAGTAGGTGGTAGTTAGTAGTTAGTAGTTGCACTGCCTAGCAGCAGCAGCAGCAGCAGCAGCAGCAGTATTAAAATCCTTATTATCATAAAACATGACATTACAAGAACATCACATTGTGATAGTGTGATGATTGTTAAATGACCACACAACGAGCGGTATACCGTTACTACAAGTGCAAGTATATTCTGTGCAAGTGCAAGTACATGCTGGCTCGCAAGTAACTCCTGTATAACAAGAGGACCTCCGTTAGGTGGTGCCATCTGGCAAATACAAAAGAGATCATTCGATTACTGTGACACACGTCTGTGAAAGTAAGGATGGATTCCTGTCAACAACGTCAAACACAAACACTTGACTTAGTGTTGCAGATTACTTTCACATTCATACCTGTTTGGATGGTCCCGCAGTAGTGCCCCTAGCATGGTGATTGCGAGCGGTAGCCCGCTGCATTCCTTGTAGATCAGAGTTGCCTCAGGGGGCAGCTGTTGCATGTCAATGTTTGTCCACCTATACAGACACGACGGAACATTGCGGCATCAATGCAAGGGTATTGCGAAATTTTAATACAGCTACCGACAAACTGCACACATGAAAAACATCTCACAGCCTAGCTAACAATGCTGACTTAGCAGAGCTCTACCTACGTAGCTCTGGGCTCGGCGGCAGGTGCCACTGCTACTGAGCCCAGGGCTAGATAGGTAGTGTTGGCTTAAGCTTTACGTGTTTTTTTCTGTTAAAGTGCTTCTAGGTATCAGATAAAATAGATTTTTTTGCAATTGTTACACACACAATCACACATGCACACGCTTGAAACTGCCAGTATTATTTAGACTGGCTTCATCGATAAGCACATTCTAAAGCTATCAGAATAACAATGAATGCGTTTAGTGCTGCAAGACCCTAGATTTTAATGACATGGAGTGAAATACACGTTCTCAATGTGCATGTATCTTGTTTGCTTCATTAATAAAAAAATGTGGCTTGTAGTTTTGTAGTAGGTAGCTAACAACTCTCTTCATATAAAAAATTTCCCTATTCTGTTTGTTATCAAATTTTACATACTATGCATCTAAGCACTTGCCTTGCAAATGCTTCTAGACATTGATCCTTACTCATGCCTGGCGATATGGAAACCTTATAGACGGGTCCAGAGACGATATCAGTTACACTGCTATCTCGCGTGGTGATCATAATCCTACCCTATCAGCCACAGTAAACGCCTGTTAACAATTACCTAATCTTGAGCGTCTGTGTTTATTTTTTGTTCGTGTTACGTGGAATTCACCGCGAGCGTCGATCCATGTACTATAAACGTAATAAACACGAATGCTCGAGATTAGGTATTTGTTAACAGGCAGTCCGTGGTTAATCCGTGTGCGTGGCAGTCCGTGTATTTTGTAACGGACCGTAATTAGCTGCTAATTTGGTCCGTTATAGTCCGTCGGTCTCCGTGTAATTTGCATCAATTACGTGTTTAGTCTGTGTTTTATCCGGTTATTCCCGTTCGTAGTGTTATATACAAAGCTTCGCTAAGGAAGTGATTTTACAATCAGTACAGTCAATGCACGTGCATTTTGAGTTTTTGAAGCAGCACTTGCCGGCCAGAACACGCGAGCGGCTAAGTTCTGTTCAGACTTGCTTACATTTTGTCAGGTGACTCCACAGAGGCAGCATTGCCAGGTAGAGTCCGACATCACCGATCGATGGGTACGATTTAAATATCGCCATGAGACCGACAAGCATAAACCACAGCAGAGGAGGTTCGTCCCTGCAACGACACACAGACAGCTGTAAGAGAAGGCCAGTGGAAGAAGCTGGAAAAAGTTTGACAATCTGGGGCACTATTATAACTCATGCGATGCCATGCCACGTCAAGTAATGCCACACAATGCAACGTCAGTTAAGCTGGGTTTACACTACCGACTTTATGTTGGCGAATTGGCGAGTTGGACCAACTTCCCAATTCGGCAACTCCGAGTTGGCAAAATGGAACATGTTCTAATCTCCCAACTAGTTGCTATCGATCGGTTGGTCACGCAACTTTTGTGCTTACACTGCCAATTGTCGGTTGTATAGTTGGAAAGTTGGTCCAATTCGCCAATTCGCCAACACAAAGTCGGTAGCGTAAACCCAGCTTTAGAGATGCCGCTATGAGGCTACATGAATTCATTCGAAACAAGGCTGTTATAAATTCAAGGATAATCTCAAAGTCACTGAACCTGTATTTCAGGTCAACAACTCACACACAGCAATCATCACGTCTATATCACCCTATAATTACCAGCGCCTACGTTTAGTTGTATCATTAAAATATAATTGGTTAATTATTAAATTTAAATTTAAAATAAAACGGCTTTGATATCACGCGAGTCACATTCAATCTTTGACAAGCGTAAGGAAAGTGATGAGATAGTATATAATAACAAGTTGGATGACATTTTGTCCAGAATTGCCCACTCACACGCATGTTGCCCAAGGCTTCAACAGGCTCTAATTGTTTTTAGCTCAATAAGATTACTCGTTTCTCTAATCTAGAATACAGTGATAGAGCGTTTCGCGTAAACCCGGAAACAAATTGGCAATCAGTTGCCATAGCAACGATGACCAAAGCAACGTGCCGAGATATTAGTAGGAAAAAAAATCAATCGTTGCCACATTAGATAGTTGGCAAGCTATATTCCCCTGCAAGCGAGAAGCACAAATTTAAAAACAAAATTAAATTTAAAAAAATTGATCTTTTATTTGAAATTTTTTTAAATTAGAGTGGATTGTCGACACTAGGTGGCAACCACGCGAACTCACCTCAGCTTGACAGCAAGTGGTGCCGTGTAGATGAAGGCGTTGATCTGGAACACCCAGATAAAGAACTCTCGGAAGTGTTCGAACATCTCGGTGAAGAAGTACCAGAACAGCCCCTGGTTCGGAGTCAGATCCGGAACGTAGAATCTGCGAGGGAACAATGCAGACGATCACAGCATGCTCAATCAATGCGACGAGCGCCTCGCTGCTCATCGAGGGCGGGGTCCCCGCGCCGCCGCGTTGCTACGTCCAGCGAGCCGTCCAGCTTGACCGCGTGCAGGGGGCGCTGCGGCGGCTGGACGACGCAGCCGGCTGGGCGGTGCTGCACGGCATGGGGCAGCGGAAGTCGGTGCTCGCTGCTCGGAGGCGCTCCACAGCACACGCCGGACCTCGTAGCCCCCGAGCTGTTTCGCAGGCGGCGTGTACTGGGTGTCCGTCGGGCAGCTGGACCACGCGAAGCTGCTCGCGTGCATGCGCAACCTGTGCGCGCGGGTCCGGCCGACCGACCGCCGCCGAACAACCACGAGGAGGCGAAGGAATCGGCTGCGCTAACGTCTTCGCGCAACGGGGGGCTCCCAAAATCCCTGCCGGTGCTCGACGACGTCTGGTCCGGGTCACGTGGTGAGAGCGTTCGACATACACCAGTGCAGTACGGGCCTGAAGTGGGGATGTACGGGTGGATGGTGGGTGGAGAGCGGGGAATTGTTTTTGATTAATTAGTTTCTATCATCTTGCGGCCTCGCTCGTGGTTAAAACTGAGGTTAGGGCGCTGATATTTGGTTTCCAATAAAATCGAATGTACCATCGTAGCGTTTCGGCGTCTTCCGGCGACAACCCGATGGCGCCAACACCGTCAACACGTAATGGCTAGCACACAACCTCAGGTATTCCACTCACGAATGAAAAAAGCCGTTGTGGCCCGGAGGCGTTTGTTCTGAGCTCGTATCGTTGCCCCGGACGCCGCTAGCCACCCGAGCGCTTCGAAGGCACTGCGCTCTAGGCGCAATAACTCTATTCTGCCGGTGTTCCGTTCGTGGCGTCGTAGCAGTTAGTACCTCATGCCAGACAGAGGGGCGTCACACACCACAACGGGGAACCCCACCCCCGCCTGCCGAACGCAACCTAGTCTGCCCTACAACCGATTCCCGGCGTAAGAACTGCGTACAGTGCCTCTCGACACGGCACTAGCCTAGCTTGTTTTCACGTCTCAGCGCGCGACTCACGGGCGCTGAGGCGGGTGGCTAACCAACATGGCTGCCCCCCATGCAGGGGACCTCCGACTATCTACAATCGTTTAATTGATGCGGCCGGGCAAAACAACACGAAAACGCACGACTAATAAAAGCAGAGCATACAAATAAATTATACCAGGTCACAAGACACTAGATCACCACACTCTGTTCGGCGCAGGGACACCACTGCTAGGAACCCGGAGGGTCTGGTGCCACGCGTACATACAGATGATATTGATATTTGTAAATGTAGGCATTTTGTATGATGCTTAAATGATACCAAGATTGGCATGATGCGTGCATTAACTGGATTAATATCATAATGCTTATGTGTAGCACTTTTCCAATAATAAATGCATAAATACAGTGTGATTTTCACATATATATATTTTA